GTTATTCAACACCACCCTTCTTGGAAAACAATGTTGGGAAGAGTGCAGAGAATCCTTTGTGATGGCAGGATAAGCAAACCTTACACCCAAGGATGCGTTGACCCTTCGACGTTTATGGTCTCACCTGCATTGATGTCCTCGCTTAGCACTGGTGAAGGAACAAGCGCCCTCTCCACCTGCACTTACGCGGCACTCTCGCACGCACCGCATGGCCGAGGACCATGTCGAGAACTTCCTTCCTCTTCCAGCAGGTCACTCCGAGACACGCCTCTCAGCCGCACCGTTTTGCATGCCATCTAACAATATAAATGAATACGTTGCATGCGGGCATGCCCTGTGTGTGTCGGTGGATGACAATAAGTGCAAGTTCCAGGTCCTCCCGATATCTTTCCCAGCAGACGTATACGCGCTGACTGGTACTTGATAATCACAAATCCGGCCGATTCTTAGCCCAAAAGTTAGCAGTAGTAGAGCCTCGCATTTTTTCGGTCGCCAGACTACCCCGCCATGCGGCGAAGGAAGCACAAGCAAGTGCGCCGAGCCTTGCGCTTCTACCGAATCCAACACGGATTCAGGGCTCCCTTCAAAGTGCTGGCCGATGGTAACTTCATCAATGCGGTGTCGGTTCTCAGGTGCGTGTGCGAACAGGTGCTGAGTGGTTTTCTGCGGCCACCTGCATATCTGAGTTGCACGCTTGGCCCCCACATTGTGCACTCACGGCAGCCCTAGCCCCCTGCAGGAACGGGGACCCCACAGAGCTACTTTCTGAGCTGCTCGGTGACAAGGTCCGTGTCTTCACCACCCCCTGCGTCATGCATGAGGTTCGCAAGATGGGGAATGAGCTGTCCAAGGCTCGCGATGCCTGCCGGCGGCTGGCGCTGCATCACTGCGGCCACGAGGAAACCACAAAGCTGCCTGCAGCAGAGTGCCTTGCGCAGCAAATAGGTGAGGTCTGAGGAGTGAGAGGAAGTCGATCCTCATGATGGATGACTGGGTGAGTGCACTAGTCCCTTGCCACCTAGACCTCCGTGGCCGTTCCTGGCCATTGCCCCCTTCTCATGCTGGGAATTGCGCAGTGCGCTGCATCCCACTGCATCAAGTGGTACCCCTCACCCCACTCTGCTTCCAACCTTCGGCCCCTCTGGCAGGTGGCGGCAACCCCAACCACTTCCTGGTGGCGACACAGGACCGCGACCTGCAGCAGCGCATCATGAGCCAGCCTGGCGGCGCCGTGCTCTTCACCTCTGTGCACGGCGTCGGCATGGCCATGCCCTCCACCCTGCAGAAGGAAGGGGCGGCCGAGCAGGGGTCGGCCCGCCTGCGGCCCTCTGCAGCAGAGAAGAGGACGCTGGAGGGGGTGGGAAGGCCGGCGGGGGAGGACGACGGCGAGCGGCGAGGCCCCAAGACGCCCTTCAAGTGCGTGGAGCTGGGCTGCGTGCATGGGTCGTTGGGAGGAGGGTGGGATGCTGGCCTAGTTGAGCCTGGCTGCTCGAGCGGTTTTTGCCTCACGTTGATCTGCCAGGATGTGTGCTTGCAGCATGGCCAGCATCCCTCCCCTGTGTACCTGCCCCCCCCACCCCAGCCTCACATCTACCACCCTGTCACGACAACACCACGAGCAGGAGGAACAAGGCAAAGGGGCCCAACCCCCTGGCGTGCAAACCCAGGAAGACGAAGAAGGCCGGGGCGGCGGCGGCGGCCCCCGAGCCGGCAGCAGCGCCGCCCGGCAGCGGCGCAAAACGGGCGCGTGTGCGGCGATCGCGGCAGCCACGGTCCGAAGAGGCCGATGAGTGAGCTGCTGCGTGTCTGACTGACTGACATAGCGTGTTAGAGGCCGGTAGATGCAAGCAGGTGGAGGGCGGGG